TGTGTGTGTGTCAGTTGGCATTTAAGGCCCACAGATGCTTGGCCCGCACGTTTGGCTTGGTTCCTTTCCTCCCGCCCCCTGCCGCTCATCAAGCATATTTTCAGCAATTGCACGTATTTCGGATTTCCCTCACTCTCTCTCTCTGTCTCTCTGTCTCTAGTTCTATGTTCCGTTCTTTCTCTAGCTCTAGCTTTGTCTCCTTCCCTGCCTTCCCTGCCTTCGTCTCTTTCTTCTACTTTTTCTTTGGCTGCTTCTCTTTTGCTATTTTTTTTTTTGCTGTGTTTGCTAAAATAACGCCACTGATGCCGCTGCTGCGACGTGTTTTAGTCAATGAAGTGGGTGTATGTATGTATGTATGTTTGTACATACGCATCTGTATGTGTTGGGCTTATTAGGTGCGTGTGCATGTGGTATGTATGTGAGTGCTGTGCATCTGTCTTCATGAATTTCCCAATGGCAACAGCATCGTTTTCTCGGTGGTTTTCTCACTTTTTTCTGTGTGTTTTTTTTTTGGTTTGTTTGGTACGTGCCATTTTTGGGTTTTCTGTTACGATTTTCCCGTGTTAAATGTTAACTGCTGATTGCATATTGTCGATGGGTGGTGGGTGGCAGCAGTGGGAAAGGGGGTGCCAAGCTGTTGTTGTCGCTGATTTTGCCACTTGTCCTTAGGGTAAGGTTTCGAATGGATATCATTTAATATTAAAATATCATTTAGAAAATTATACATAGATAGATACCTAAATAGACAGTCCGATGGTTAGAGCTTTAACTTAATTTAAAATAATTTAGATATATTAAATTTGCGCAACCGCAGCACAGGGACCTGCCACAAATTGTGGCTAAGCACCGAATGCGATAAGCAGCCACTTCAATGGGGAAATACTCGCCGAAAATCCCATCGAATCCGCTTAGTTTTCACAAATTAAAACCAATATCACACAGCCAAGCCAATGGCTAAAATAATACGAAACTTGCCAAATTCTATAAATGAAATTAATCGCAAATAGTTTTTGGGGTGAAAATAGAGGGATTGGCTTTTTCAACCACCTCCTCCAACCCAACCCTACCCTACCCCCGCCTCCCATTCTATAAAACTGGGTAACAAAAGAAAAATTTAATTCATTTTCGGGGTTTTCGGTCGTTGAAATGAAAGGAAAATACAAATTCCAAAGTGGAGTAGTGAAAATCAATCTACAGAATATGAACATTAAATAAATGAAGAATATATTCCGAGAGTAGCAATTATTTTTATAGCATAAAATTTCACAGATAATTTCACAGCTTAGATAAACAGCCATTCAAAAAAAAAAAAAGAGCTAAAGATACAAATGCAGATACGAAGATACACATCATAAGTATGTACATACATATGCCGCCGCAGCTTGTTTGTCTTTGCCACTGAGGCAGCAACAGCAACAGCAACAACGGCAAAAATTTGAGGCTCAACAGCTGTTTAAATGGAAATGAGACACAAGTGTTTCCCAACGACGGACAGACACTCAGACGAATGGATGGGTAGATGGGGATGGCTGAACGGATGGATGGACCGTATTATGCCTCATAACCATAGCATAATACCTCCTCCTACCCCCCTTGGGCCATCAGGTTCTATCCAAAAACAGTCAGCACTTCCCCTCAATAACAATTACAATAAAACAATAAGCAAACAGCAAAACGCAGCCGCCGCATCGGAAGCAGACGGAAGTCAACGGAAATAAACAAAACATCCGCAAGTTCTAATTACAAAACGCACCACAAAACAGATATAGAAAGAGACACAGATAGTATACACAGCGAGAGACAGAGAGAGAGGGAGATCGGCAGAGAAAGTTTCAGTACAAAATTTCTGCTTCTGCTCCTTTGATGTCTTTGCCACCTGCGCTGCCCTGCCATGCCCCCCATTGGTTGTACCACGCCGCCAAAAAACTTTTATTAAATGCAGCAATTTAAAGTTTTTAACCCCGAATCAAATCTAACCAAAGAAATAAAACGCTCAAAAAGCTACCAAAGAACCAAAAGAATATTGCGACCAGGTCGCAGCTGAAAATACCTTAAAAACTGTTGAAAATATTAGCTAAAACATTTATGATATTTAAATAGGGAAATTTTTATTGGCGAGATTAATTTATAGGGGTTTTGCTACTTCTTGTATTTCGAATATAAAGAAGAAAAACTTTGAGTCAAATAATATCTAAACATAAATATTTACATACATTCTATGAAATGGTGGATATTTTTTTATGAGCAATGGCTTCTTCGTTGCCTTCTTTTTCCATTAAATATCGCTCTTAATTCTTCAGCATCTTCCTTTAATCAAATATTCATGCTACCATCCCATCTCTTCAGTCTCAATTTCAAGTTCCAACAAACTTTCGAAAGTTCCTTCTTTCGCATAAGGGTATCCAAACGAACGACATCTCAAGCAGAAGCGGAAACCCCAAAACGTCAGCGACAACGAAAACGACGACTACGACGACGACGACGACGACGATGGCAATACAAAATACAAAAGTTATGCAAAAATGTGTACTCGAGTTCAATTAAAAGTTTTTAAGTTGTGCAAATGAAACGAGTGCATGGCGTCTCGTCTCCAACTGCGACTCCCATTCCAATTCCAATTCCGACTTTAGCTTCGACTCAAAACTCCCACTTAATTTTCCAACTCCAGCCTCAAACTTTGCGCGTAATTGCCGTGTGTTGCAAACACGGAAATTTAAATGGTAGACACGAATGAAAATTCAGCAAAAATTCCTCCTAAATTTAGCCAACGATAAGATTAGTGCCTGCTGCTGCTGCTGCTGCTGCTGGAACTCGGCTGCTTCTGCAGCTGCGATCATAATAATTAAAACAAATTTCCAGCCAAAAGTTGAAGGCCAAAACGATGGAAAATCGAAATGGAAAACAACAAATGGATGGTTGGATCTTTAATGTGCATATTTTTGTGTATTTTGATTTGGTAAATCATTTATGGAATTTCTAGCTGGAAATACTTGAGATTTCAATGGGGAGAAACGCACTCGGCTCTCTGTATTTGTATATTTTGTGTGTTCTCTATCTCTAGGCAGAAGAATGAATGTTTTGTGTATAAACTAAATAAATAAATAAACTAAAGGTGTGAAAAATATCGTTAAATTAAAACGAAACCTAAAACGGTAGCCAGAGAGGGTTTTTGGGGAACAGCCTCTGACTTATCGCAGAAATGAATTAAGAATTGAAGTTTCAAAATACAAAATTGAAAGCAAAAGCGAACGAATCGCCCGTCACCCAGCCGTAACACAATCTTCTTATGCGTCAGTTTTTTGATAACAGCACAAGACCCCCACAAGTACCAGTACCAGTACCTCCCCTGGTACCACACTCTCTGCTGCCAGAGGCATTTCTTAACAATAATACAGAGACCCCCAACAATAACAAAAATAACAGAGAACAAAAAAAGAGAGAACCAGAACCCACGAAAAGCTGTCTACAATCAGCTGGCGGCGGTCTTCGATTCGTTTTATCAGAGAAAACACTCGAAAAAGCGAGCAGCAAAAAATAATAAATGCTTAAAAGAAATGCCACACAGACACACAGCACACACAAACACATACTATGCATATTATGTGTGCAAAAAAAAACAAAAAAAAAAACCACAAAAAATTGGCAAAAAAGAAGAAAAGATTAAATATATTTGTATGTATAGATATCTGTACAGATGTACATAGTATACATTTATTTAGTATATATATTATGCATGCCGCGAGATGATAACCAAGCGCTGGGTTTGCTGGTTTGTTGGTTTGCGAATTTTACTTATTTATGGCCACGGCACATATATTTATTCGGCTGCCGCCTCCCTTGTGCCTCCCTCTTTTGTTCGGTGTTTTTTTTTTGCACACACAAAAATTATATACATATCAGTCCGGTAGATACGATTCTCTATATAGCAGTACATGTGTACTAAAGTATGTTTGCCTAGCATGCGCCGCACACACACCAGCATTAAAGCTTATCAAGAGAGTTTATAATTTTTGGCGATTTAATTTTAGACCGCCGCAGGTAAACTGAAAATTGCAGACCTTGAAATTTGTTTCGTTTTTTGATTGCTTCTATATTTGCCCCAGAGAAACAAACAAATGGAACCGAAGCCGAAGCCGAACCGAACCAAAAACTAAAAACTTTCGCCTCTGTTATGGAATGCTTTCCGATCGAAAAAGATTGCGCAATGCCCCTAAAGGATGTCGAAAAAAAAGTCGCTTAAGTCTTTCGATAAAATTGAGGAATTAAGTAGTTGAGTCTTTGATAAATTTTCGAATACCAAGCAAATACCAAGCTCTACTGGAAGGTGACGTCAATCGGGTGGCAAATTGGAGCGAATGCAGTGGAGCTCTAGCGGAACCAAAACTGAAAGTTCTGTGAATCAAAGAAAGTATTAAATTTGTTGGAAAAATTATGCATGGTCTTGGAAAATTAATCAAATATGTACATAATTTCCAATTGCGAATAAGAACTACTATTAAATTCCAATGCTCGATTTAGGGCGGCCCGTAATGGCTAGGTATTGGTTCGATTATCAAGAAATGTAGGTGGAAGTTCAATATTAATAGTATTCATAATCTCCAATCGCTGAGAAATGTCTAACTAAAGTTAACAAACAAAAGTAGATCAATTAGCATTGAAAAACAGGGAATGTTTACGATTAGATTAGAAAATGTTCCCAAGCTTTCAGCAAATGTCTGACGTCTGTTTTGATGACTATCTGAAATTCCCTTTAGTACTGAATCATCATGAAGAACTTCGATTGGAAGAGGTTACAATGGTCTGACGGCTGATTTTACGACTCTCTGAAATATATCTGAAACTGTGGCAAGGCAAAAACAGTCTCATATCTACCATCAAATAAATAAACACTGATTCATTAAGTATCATTATTCATTATCATTTTGATAAGAATATACTAAGATACTAAGATACCCGTATGGTATGTATTTATATCTATATTTTTTGTTTGTGCCACAAACCTGTTGCCATTGATCCTCAATGGAGGGCTGCGACGAAAAGTAGCCGGTGGTGCAGATGCGCTCCAGTTCGTTGAAGATATTCCCACTTGGTAAGATATCCATCTCGAAGTCCTCTTCGGTAAATCGCAAAAACTCTGGGGACTCCGTTGTGAGGCCGTTGCTGTATATTTGATTGATTGATTTAATGCGAAATTGCGATTCAAATTGCTGCTCGTTGGCCAACAATTTGAGATTTTGATGGTGGAATTTTGATTGGATTGGATTGACTAAACCTTAGTTATAGATACAATACGCTATATACTATGTGTATATAATTATATGACGATGGATATATTTTTTTGATTTAATTTTGATTTCAGAGAGATTGTTGCATCCCAGCGATGGCAGAGGCCGCTGTGGGCTGCATTTTGACACTCGCGTTTGTGGATATATCGGGGCTATAGCCAGAGATGTATGGAATCTACACACTTTGCTTTTTTCACACTTTTTGTTGGTTGTTAATTTTTCAACTAATTTCAGTTGAGTTTCTTTGATATTTCTTTTGATTTCTCACTTTTCCACATTAAATTCTTTATTTTTAGATATCTGTTGTTGGGTTTGTTTTTTAGCTGAAAGTAAAAAAAAAAATATTGCATAAATAATCATTAATTATTGTAGTACAGTGAGGGGGGAGTAGTATTTATTTAACCCATATTCTTTTTTTTTTTTGTGGGTTACTTGCCCTGTTTTTATCTTTTGCAGAGTCATCACTAGCTACCAAATAATTAATTATTGCACTTTTTTTTGCTAAATTTATTTTCCCAGGCCATCATTCTCCCTCTCTCTCTCCCTTTCCGTTCATGTTTTTACCGCTCTCCTTCTCTATTTTCAATATTCTCAATACAAAATTTCTTTTAAAATGTATCTCTGTCTTTCGCCCCGTTTTACATTCTCAAATTGGTTTCAGTTTTGGGTATCTGTTTTAGCTATGCTCAACACTTTTTTCAGTATCAAAGCACAGTTTTGGGTCAGTAACCCCGTTTCGAACACAACACACATGTACCCAACTCGTATGCATACTTCTCTGGGTGAGTGTACAAATGCATGTGTGTGTGTTCAGGTCGGATCAAATTTGATTATTATTATAGTCAACAGGGGCTCGGCGGCGGGACGACCATGCATGGCACTCTCTCTCTCTCTGTGTCTCTCTGTCCCTCTCTCTCTCTGTTTCGGCCCGGCCACAACTCAGCCTTAGCCGCTGCTCTGCCTGTGTTTTTCTTTCATTTCTAAGCGCTTTGTCTCCCTTTTGCTCTCTTGTGTCTGTCTCTTTTGCTCTCCCTTTTCCTGCTGCGGACGCGGTCTGTTGTCGGTTTTTACTACCTGTTTCTTGTTGTTGTTTGAGCCGGGACGGACCTCTCTTTCACAACGTTTTCGTGTTAACTGAAAACTGAACAAAAAATAACCACCAAAACCGACAACCGACAACCGAACCCCAGCCCGTTGACCGTGTGCGCTTTTGACTTGAATTCTGTGTTTTGTTGTTTTTTTTTTTGTGTTTGTTGGTACAGTTTTGTTGTTTCTGTTGCTGATGCATGCAGCACATGGCTGCCCGTCTCTTTCGCTCTCTTTCTGGCTGCACTCTGCCATGCCCCCAAATTAGAACTTTGCATTGCAGTTATTTTTCTTTGGTTTGTTGCATTGTCTTTCAGTTTGATAAAAGCAACTTTCATTTGGTTTTGGCCTACAAAATTATGCTTTGGGGGAAACCACATGTAGTATATGTAGTATGTAGGAGCCCTATATGTATGTATGTACATATCTCACAATCACAGACAGGGTAGAGGAGCAGGCCCACAGTCAATGGCATTTTTATGTTCCTGACTTTTACCCATGTGTCTCATCGCTTCTACCTCTTTGTAGCAGTGTCTGTCCCATCTTTCTCTCTGTCTCTCTCTGTCTCTCTTTATAGGAGTGTCTGCTGTCCCTATCCCCAACCATTCCTATCCCTATTCTTTGACAATAAGCATTGGCTTATTGATTTTCCAGCAGCAGCATCCACCATACTTGTATTCCAACAGCATTTTCATCCCATTTCGAGGAGAACCTTTTCACACACTTGTCCTGCGCGCTCTGAAACTCTTCCTGTTTTATTGTTAGATGTTACATGTCCCCCCCCACCCGTCCCCTGTCGATCGTTTTCATTTTGATTATCGAACATTTTTATCGCTTTGACGTTTTTACAAGTTTGTATTATATCCCCCCTAAAGAAAAAAAAACACACACACACACACAAAACAACAAAAAAAAGAGAAGAAAAGTAAGGGAAAATCGAAACAAAAAGTTATGTCTGGGGTACAGTTATGGGGTCCGAGTGTGTTGGCCATTGTCCAGTGCGACTTCCCCCCTGTAAACCCCTTTTTGAAAGAGTTTGCCAAAGCATGAAATGAGCGAATGAAAGGGGCAGGTGGCAGGTGGCCGGGGAGAACAGGCATATGGGTCGAGGGATATTCACATTTCGCTTGAAATTTAATACGATTTTCATATTGAACTTTGGGCTTTAGGTTGCTTTATTTTTTGTTGGTCTAATTTACTCTTAACCCAGTTCCAGTTCCAGTTGCAGTTTCCAGTTTCACGAGCGCTATAGCTCGAGTGGGATTCGCGTACAGCTGCTCATTAAGTTGAAACAATAAAAGCGCAGCCTACGTTAAAACACAAACACACACACGAAAACCCACATAAATCGGTCGCCCACTCCCACTCCTCCTCACATTCCCTGTCTTTCTATTGCCTGCCACCTAACCTCCAGCTCCAATCAGGCAATCTTCCAATGCTGCATTTATGATTGCCACAGCAACATCCAGAATCCAGTATCCAGTGCAACCTCCACAACAGCAGACACACACGTAAAGATACTTTACTCAAAGACCCTTCAATCAACAACTTAACGCGCCACGCGGCGGCCCAGAGACTACAACGTTAGCGCATCGCTTCGTCTCGCTTCTTGCCTCTTGCCTCTTGCTTCGGGATGGATCCCGATCCCTCCCTTTCGTCTCCCTAACATCGCCTCACTCCCTCACGCTGCATCTTCCCATAGCAGTGCACCCTTTTGATTCTCCTTCTTCTCTCTCACTCCCTCCACGCTTCATCGTCAGTGCCATCCTCTGGCTGTCTCTCCTCCTCTTTCGCGTACTCCTTCTGCCTACGTGCGTTTTAATTTTAATTTCTTCTCCCTACTGCTGGCATGGCCACTTCTCTCGCGTCTTCAACAAAATGCGTTTGAGCTCGAGTTGAAGATTTTCTGATACCCTACAGACGTACAGAAGAGAGACCCTCCACTGGTCCTCACTAATCACAGAAGTCTTGGTAGGAAAAATAGTTTCCACCAAAACTCAAATTGGACTCAAGACAGAAGCGTAAATCGAACTTCCAGGGTATCAGCAGCCTCGACTACCCAAGGGCAGGACTTTCCTTGTTTTGGTTTTGTTTTTTGTTTTTTTCCCTTTTTTGAAACGGAATTTTAAGCGTTCAAGAAAGCACATGCTTTGGGTGCTTTTTCCCTTCTCTCCCGCTGGTTTGTGTATCAGAAACAGCAACGGAGAACTGGCGACGACCTTAACGGGCATGCTGCCAGGGACGGAATGGGACGGGACCCAAGACGGACTTGGGACTTGGACTCGAGTCAGCGTCTGCTTCAGTGGCAGAAGAGGAGGCAACAGCAACAACAATAGACAGCAAGAAACGTCATCAGCAGTTCAACGGATCTTTGCCTGCATTTGTTGTCGCTGTTGGTTCTTCAACGTTTCTTTTCCTCTTCCCTCCACGGTATACTTTTATTCTCTTATTTTGTTTTCATCTTCGTTCCATGACATCGCATTTAATCCCATGAACTTGATGCCTCCTCCCACGCAAAACTCTTCTGTTTCCATTGTAATATTTCCTGCTCTGGTTACCGTATACGTATACCGCAATCCCACTTCCCCCTCGAATACCCTATCCACAATGTGGAGCAGCCCCCCAAAAACAAATCAACACTTTGTTCATTTCACACGTGAATTGCTTTAAAATAAAAGCCGAAATGGAAAATGGAAAACGGAAAAAGGGGGAAATGATGTGCTCTACTATGTATGCTCTGCTCTCGGGATTTTCGATGGTCTATTTTTATATCAAAACTTTGTTTACATTCCAATTCGAGTGGGAATTTTCCTCTAGGAATAGAAAATTCAAGCACACATGACCGAGCACACGCACAAACACAAACACACAGACATACACACACCCTCATCCCAGAGAAATTCTCAATTAGAAAATCCTTGTTTCATTTCTGTTCTGTTCCTGCGGTTAAACGCGGATTGACATTGAAAACATTTTACGATTCCCAAAAACCTCAAAAACCCCATTACATATACTCGTATTTAAGGGTAAATGTCCACAAAATGCTGATATTTAGGGGAAAACTGAAGGGGGGAAAACTGTGGTTTTTCCTTGCGGTTGTCTGCGATTAATTCAAATTAAGGTTGAAATGCTCTTAGGGATTTGTACCTGTTGGCAGGAATATCCTAAATATCAGCCCACAAAAGGCACAAGGAAATGAAATTATACAAGCGAATTTTCATCTGCCTTATTAAAGATTAAAGATAAAAGAAAAGCAAAATGCCCATTGTATTTGTGTCGCTGTTTGCATCATTTATTTTTAGCTGGGAAATCGTTTGTATGTTTATAAACAAAACGTTATTTATGATCTCTATTTTATTTTTTTTGTATTTTATTTTCGTACAGTCAAATAAATATTAATAAATACCCCGATGGCGCGTATATCAAGGCGACAGTTCGACGGGGGCACTTTATTTTTGGTATCTCCATTCCCCCAGCATAGTTCCATCCATCCACCACTATTGTATACCATCCACATGTGGCATATCTTTAATTGGGGGACTGGGAGGCGACCCATGGATCCATAAATCAGTAGCAGGGCAGACAGAATTAGCTAAAACTCTCGGAATTGTCTTTTGTTTTGCGTCCAAAAGTGATTTTGGATACCATTAAAGGGTATTAACAGCATTCTTGTTAAGACTTCCCCTTGGACCGCAAACTCCTATCACTCCAGAGAGCTAACTTTTGCCTCTCAATAGACACCACAACGGACACCCTCAACTCTGAGTAATTGAATTACAAAGTGAAGCTATTGGTAAATATTTAGAAACAACAACCTGTGGGACAGGTACTGCCCTCCTCAACCTCTCATTCTATATATATGTATATATAGATATATTTATATTTGTAAGGGGAAACCAATGCAAACTGAAAAGCAGAACCGATTCGTATGAATCGTAAAGCAAGTGCAATGCCTGTTCTGTTCTGTTCTGTTCAGATCTGCAAATAGTATACTCATCTATATATGTATGTATATAGCTTACATCCATATGTACATATGTACTAGTAGATATGGTAGTAAATATATTTCTTTATTATTCATATTTATATGATTATTGTCGTTTTGGCGCCGACGAGTCAACCGCATTGAAAACTGAAAAATACTCGATGCATGAATCAACAACCAACACTCGAGAACAGAACAGAACGGAACGGAACCCGTTCCCCCTTGTATACTACGTGATCTCTGAGCAGTCGGGGGCCAGGCATGGCATAGGCATGCAAAATTGCACAAAACATTTGCTGTAATATTATATGGTATGGAATAGTCACTGAATCGGTATCTGGAATGGAACAGATTAGGCTGCCATTACTCATAGGATGCGGCAGAAAGAGAGGATCCAGTGAATCATCAGCGAACGTGTCAAAATGCGAAAACCTATAGGATTTTTCCCCCACCCCCAAGTCCCGCTAAAAGTGCGGAATGTACCATGCCTATGCTATGGCTACAGCAACGGTAAATCACAGTCACAGTTCAAAATTATAGTGCACCTGCCTAATGAGCTTTCGATTTGAATTTCGACTTTATCTATTCATTTTCGCGTTTTGCTTTACCTTGTTGCAAGTTGGTGCATGTGCAACACTTGCTTCCCGTTTGGACTGCTTCACTTTGCTGCCTCACTTTGCTGCCTCACTTTTTTGCTGTTGTTGTTGTTGCTTTTTTTTTTGCAAACACAAAAACTTGTTTGGCTCAAACACACAAACGCAAACACACACACACACACGCCGACGCGACACACTAACACCAAGAGCAGAGAACACCTTATTGACGCGACGCGAGGCGACGCCGGCAAGCAGCAACAACAATATTAGCCACAACACTGGCGGCAGATCGAACGCGATAAGAATTATTACCTCAAGTATTTATGTATTTTTTACACAATAATTCTGTATGCAACTATATTTTTGTTATTTTTTTGTTGTTGTTTAACAATCTTTCACGGCATCAATTTGCAATTTTCCAGCTCTTTTTTTTATGTATTTACTATTTCTAATAATTTTCTTGTTTATTTTGTATTATTGTATTTACACGGTATTCTGTATTCTGGATTCTGGATTTGTTTTGTTTTGTGTTTTCTGTTGTTGATTTTGCTTGGGTTTCACTTGGGCTTTCGTTTGATTTTACAGTTGTTTACAGAGTTTGCACTTGTGGCCATAGCGGTAAACCTGACGACTACTTGGATTTTTTTTTATCAAAAGCACCGTTCCGCCTTGTACTGTTTAATTATGGGACATGCACACACACACACCTATGTACATACAACCGGATAAACAATTGGAATTTTCGCGGTTTGTTTGGATCTAAATTGATGTTTTGTCAAAAATAAATGTTGCTAGTTAGCAGCCGCTAAGGTGTGTTGGTAACCGGCAAACGCGTCTTCACCCGTTGTATTCCACTCAGCGCGGGCTTTTTCAACGGACTTTTCTGAAATTCAGAAAAAGATTCGACACTAACTGTTGTTTCCCTGTCCGCGGCCGAAACATGTTTTCAATCGTGTTCACGGGATTCGGGACGGCAAGGCCGTTCGTTCACAAATGTTGCGGCCTCATGATGCTAGAAAATTTATGCGACGCTCGACTCAGTTTTGCGTCTCAACTAAGAGTTGCCAAGCAAAGTATGTTGCTGGAATCCAGACTCATATTTCGAGACTGTTAGCTAACAGAGTTACGGAAATGTTAGCTATCATTTGCTGTCGTATAAGAACTGGAATTGGCCATGGCTAAAAGCTAACAGGCCGCTGTTAAACTGTTATACTGTTACACTGACTATATACGATATTGGGGCTGACTGCTGTTAACCAAAAGTCATTTAACATTTAACGGGGCTCTGGGCCAAAACACTTGCTAAAATATTTAAGCCCTGGACAGGGCCCTGGACTGGGCTGGGGATTGGGCTCAATAATTGACAATCAAATTGCGTATAATCCGCGAACTCTACGTATGACAATTATTAATGTGAAGCAAGGCAATGGCCATCCGGCTGGCAGTTGGCGTAATTGCAAATAAACTAGCAAACCATTCCACCCCCACCCCCACCCGGCAAGTAAAGGTGCGTTGACAATTTGACATCTTGTTCTACTCCACACCGTTCTAGCCCCACCCGCGCCGAAGTGATGGGGGGGCGGAAGTCGCACAAATCCGTAAATGGCACAGTTTATGCCACCAAAAAGCACTCCGCAGAACCCAAGTAAGGAGACAGCGATTGGCGCGCCAAATTGTCCATTATCGGTGCCACAGCCAGAGAGAGAGCGAGACCAGGGTGAGAAGGGCAGGAGCCAGTGGCAAGAACAGGGCCTAAACCGCGCAGTGCAATGGTTATTAATATTGATTGGAGCATAAACTGGCGACGGTATTCGAGAGCTATAACTTCAGTGCAGACACACACACACACACACACAGGGACATATGTTACACATACATATGTACGTATTGAGCTTTTGGCCATGTTGTCGATTAATTGCGATTATGTAAATGTTAATGTAAAGCGCGTTACAATTTATTATATTTGCATGAGGGTTTGCATGCAAAGTGCTTCTGCCCAAATACGAATACGAATACGATGGGGTGGCCCGGCACTCTGCACTCCGGCACTCTTGCCACAAGAACATAAGTTTGTATGTATCTACAGTGGACACTCCACAGAGTGAAGCTCTGGATGAGCAACCATTACAGCAATCATTTTGGGTATAATATCACCAGCTTGCTTGACGCTTCACTGTACGTACGGGCTGTGTGTGTGTGTGTGTAAGTGTGCGTGTGTGTACGCTTGTTGGCCAAACTCTGTGCGTATCCGTTAGGTTGCCAAGTTTGGCTTATTGATTTAGTAGACGCTGCAAATTGCGCTTTGATAGCGTCTAATGTGACATTTGTGCAATTGTAATGGAAATTTATGTTTGTCGGTTTATGTTTGCCATTGCCTGCCATTCGGCCACACACACACACACACGGGCGGCACTAAGCGATGGAGAGTCCACATGGCCTTAATTAAAGGTATGTGTGCTGCATGTGACTGTGACTGTAACTGCCCCACCGGAACCACACTCTGGAGACCACTCTGGCACCCATATTTGGGGGCAATCCAAAATCCAAAGCGAGTCCCCTGCAAGAAGTAATTACACCCGGAGTAGCCCACCAAGCCACAAAGATACTCGTATTATTGCAACTTGCAGATGCTTCGATCCTAATCCCCCGATTCGGACTGTGTTGCACTTGCAGTGCATTTTGTGGCAGTCACCCTGGGTCTGTGGGGCATTAAGGAAATCGTAAAGTGCTCGAAGCCACAAAGCAAATTTCCAAAAAGAAAAAAAAAACGAAAAAATACTTAAATAACAGTCGACACAATATGCGCTCGCTGTCGGAATCGTCAAGCAGAGTGCTGGCGGCAGACGAGACTTTCCTTCGGGCTTCGGGCTTAATCCAATGGCCAAAACGCGGCAGCACTTGCATTCCCTTTCCCCTTCAGGCTGCCGCCAGCCTGCCACTGCCATAGCGAAAATATTTTGATGTATTCATGGAAACATTTTATGCATGTTAAGTAACAGACAAATCGACGGAAACTTATGCTCTATAGCTTCTCATAAGGGGGCGGCAGTGGCGGCGGGGGAGCGCCCATTCGACTTATTAATAATTTACGTGGTAATATTTCTGTTGCCTTCCTCTTTGCCATCCAAAAAAACAAAAGCACTGGCAGAGGGAACAAAATGGAATAGATGAAAATACAAGACGTGTTCAAGGTGGAAAAGTGGCCAACAAAGTGAGTGAGACAGAGAGAGGCGAGAGGCCAGAAAGAGATGGTTAATGTGCGTGAGAGGGTGAGCGAAAGAGAGATGGCTAGTGTGTGCGTTGGAGTAAGACAGAAGGCCGACAGAAGGCATATGAATTGGAAACTAATCGTGGAATATGGCAATGATTATTATGCACATCACACTAATCATTATCTTTGTGTGGCAGAGGGGACAGTCAGAGACTGTGACTGGGGACTGGGACTCAGCCGCCACTTCTTCCGCAGACCAGGGGTGGCAGCGCACAGCGGAGAGAACGAGATGGCTTTACACATGTGTGCCTCATAAAAATCTCTTGATATTCATTGCATGTCGTTGCCCCATGCCAGTGTGTGGGGCAGGGGGGGCGCTGATAAGAGGTGGGAAACTTTTCCGGGCTTAGCGTTGGGCTTTAAGCACAGCACACACTTTGCCTGATTTCTTTTGCCCCCTCCCCGCCCCGGCACAGCACTTCCATGCCTATCGCTTCTCTTGTTAATGGCTCAAATGACATTCATTCATTCATTCATTAACTGTTTTTTTCAACCCAGCCCAGCCCATCCCTCCCCCGCCCCCCCACATGAACAATGTAAAATTTAATTTAATTTTTGGCAAATACAAACACTTGATGAAACTCTTGGTATCCACTTCCACTTAGCTGCAGTTCATTGCTTCGTGTAAATACAGCGCCCCAGAAACTTTATGCTACAAAACTTTTCTCGCTCTTTCTTCAGCTCTATCTGTCTCTCTCTATCTCTATATATCTCTTTCGCTCTGTATTTGCACGTCTTTCTTTGACAACTTCAGAATGTTTTGCATGCAAATAGGCGCAGCAACAGCAACAAAAAAAATCAACAAAAACAATTACAACAAAAAGAAACTAATTCGAGAATCGAAGATGAAAATACCCTTGAAAATTGATCATTAACATGGCAATTATGTCTTATAGTACCCAATTTAGATTTAAACTTGGCTGAGTTATAAATCTCGAAGCTAACACAAAATTAAATAGCGTATCAAGTGACAGCTTGTACATATGTACATATGTATTTATGTATACCCTCTGATAGAGTATATTTGCAAAAAGCATGCAAATCCTATGAGCGAGATGGCAATATGCGAACCGTGCGCAAATAGAGGCAAAGACAAACGTATGGAGGAGCGTTGGTAGGCAGAGAGCAGGAGCGAAAGATTCTGACAAAGGCATGGGAAGACAAGCAAAAGCAAAAAACTTTGACGATAATACGATTGAGCGAAGAAGAAGAGACAACATAGGAAAACAAAAAAAAAAAAAGCGTGAGAGCAGCAGAGAAGCTAAAAATAGACTTCACGCACTCGAACGGCAACGGCACTGCGACACGACACGACACGCATATCAACGAAGATAACGATGGCGATAACGAAGCTCCCCCGCAATGCAGCCGCAGACGCAATCACGGCACTGACCAGCACAAGATTCGCACACAAAACAACTTTGAGATTGATCCTCAAGCCGGTGGAGAGATTTGCCCCTCACTCTCTCAATTTGTACAATTTATGGCAACGCTAATCGTATGGGATGATAATTTTTAGGTCCTGAATTATCCTCTCTACCCTTTAGTTTCCGTGCAGTTTTTCAGGAAAAAAAACGCCTTTATTTGTTTTTTAAGTTAAGCAGATTTCCAGATATAATTTTTTTTTATATATAAAAACTATAGAAAAAGCTTTATGTATAATTTTCCACGCTGAGAGGGGACCTCTACCACTACATCCTTATCGCTGATAATGGAATCGATTTAATTGCTTTTCATATGTATGTACATATATATGCACATTTTTATATGAGTATTTTTTATGCCATAAAAAAAACACATTTAATTATACGCTTAAGAGCCTATTTATTTATTTCTGCGTTAATTTTTGCAATAAAAAATTCCGCGCGCATCATAATTGTTTAAGGATTCTCTCTCGTTGGAGCATTAAAGCGTGACTAAAATGGATTAACTTTTTCATTAATATGCCGCCAAGCAATTAACAAAATGTCGGCTTAGAACCGAAACAGCTATAGAGAGTGGGTGTAAGCCGAACTTTCATTCCACTCAACGAATATATTAATATGAATGCATTTTTTCATAATTAATCGAATTCAATTTAATTAAAAACAAATATTTGCATATTTATGTAGTTTTTGTATCAGTTTGTGCTTCGATGCTCCACAATTGTTGGGCTTTGCCTTTGTGAACCCGATAGCTATTAACAACATGTCATCGTGCATTTAAAACGTTTTCAAATAAATTCCAATAATTACGAGAACGTGAACCATGCCCACGGGCGTAGCCAAACAAAAAAAAAAAGAAGGCTGGCAGCGAATTTGTAGGCACTTTTGGCATGCCCAATGCCCAATGCCCCATGCCCCATAGATATTCCATCGAAATGTTGATTAAAGTATCGAAAACAAATATCAAAAATCTGTCAGCTGCAGCTCATCTCTCTGACATTGCCGCTGCCGCTGCCCCTTTTTCCTCCTTTTGCTTTTGCGGACACACAAAAATTTGCATATTTGTCTCCGGCTGCGGTCTCGTTTCGTTTCCCGTTTACCGTCTCTCCTGTCTTCCGCCTTTGGCTGTCATTTTAATAAAAATATTTGTTTAATTTCGTTACGTGTGTTGCGGGTGGGGCGGGGGGCGTCCGGGCTTGCTTATAAAATTAATTTTAAATTAAACAATTTTAATTACGGTTCAATAATCAACGCAC